AGTAAGACTATTTTGAGATATTATGCAAATCACCTCTATAGATACTGCTGAAAAAACATAAATCCAGACAAAAAAAAATATTTTTTTGAAATAGAAGTAAAACATGTTATAGTAGATGTTTGATTTTTAGTATATGATTTGGTTTTTATCTATAATTTTTTTAAATAGTAGCTTCCAAAAAACTGTGTATGTGACCCTGGACAGTTCAAAACTTAAGTGGCCAACCAACAGAAATAATTGCCCACCCCTGCAGTAAAGCCTGTCAAACCTGTTAGCATTCCAGTTCAATGCAAACTCTGAAAAATGTATCAAACAAAGTAATCAAAACAGAATGGATAGGCAATATGATGCTATAACTGTACACACAGAAAGCAATATTATTTACTACGCAGAGAAAAAGGAAATCTTCAAACAAGCACTGGTGGGGTGGAGGAATGGTTATGACAGAAGCCTAAAGGCAGAATCCCTCAAGTTTGATTTTTTTTTTTTAAATAGGGAAATGTATCCTTCAATTCTGAAAATATAAATATAGGAACGCAACAAATGATACTAAGCAAAATTAAATACCATGGAAGCAAAAGGACACTAATGTTGCTTTCTGGATATTCGTTACATTTTTCTCCCCAATTTCCTTTTTAAACCAGCAGCTCAGGCTTCTACCTTAATTAAAAATGTGTGAACAGGCATACTTTTCACAAGTGACCACAACACTGCCAACATAATTTAGGTAGGAAGCATGAATTTTATGTCCAAAACAGTAGTCAGGAGCAGTTATGACCTTCAGGGTCCAAAGTGGGTCAAACCCCTAGCCTGCCTTCCTCCTCAGTGTCAGTAATCAGACCCAGAGCAAGAAGGGTAGGCTTGAAGAGAGCATGCAAATCTCCAATTGCTTCTTGTTGTTTCGTGCATTTTTTTGTGCCACTACCACTCCCTCTCTACTGTCTGAGCTATTTAACCTCCTATTTGTCAACAGAGTCCTCAACCATGAGGTCAGCATCACTAGCACCTAGCTACAGGATGCTTTTTCAGTTATTTCAAATGGGCAATTCCAATTAATAAGTGATTCAAGATACAGCTCTCTAACCTCTAACCTGTTACTTACATTTCCAAAAACAAAGCTAAAAGCTGTTGCATATTTTGTCATGTGGTACAGTGCAAGATCTCACTTTTTAAAAAGAAAAGCTTCAATGACCAAAACATGACAGTTGGGTACACAGATTAATTCTTGATCTAGTTAGCATTTTTAAAAAGGATTTTTGCAATATTTCCTCAAAATTAAATAAGGCTTAACATAATTAAGTTAATTTATTTTTACTTTTGCTTTTTACATGCTATATTGTTCAATAACATACATATTAAAGATGGAAGAAAATTAAAAAGCCTTACCTGTTTACATGCCTGTCGACATTCCACAGCAATGGCTAGTTCACAGCAACCTAAGCCAACCCAACCATCAGACTTTTTCAAAACACCTTTAAAATAAAATTACACCATGTATTATGGTAATAAAAGTATCCATCCTATAACCCCCCCCACACACCCACAATTAAGTTGCTTCTCAGACATGATAAAGCAAATACCCACAGCTAAGTGCCAATGATATCTTTCTAAATTACAAGTCAAACTTTTTGGAATGTAAAGGACCACAAGAGGACAAAGGCTTAATAAGCATGCTAATTTGCAATTACATTGCTCTTCAAACACCTATACAATATTTACAGTGCATTAAGCCAAGCAATACCCTTGTGAAAAGTATTATCAGGACTCAAAAAGTCATTCAACTGACAGAAGGACTGAGCCTTAATAGCCAGGAAGGAAGGTAATTAAAAATAAATACACCTATCTTTTCAAAGATCTCGTCTTCTTTTAAGATGGACATTATTTGGGGCATTAATAGGGTCATATTTTCAGTTAATAAAATTTAAAAGAATTCTGTCAATTATGAGGGGTGCACCAATAGAGATTTTTTGGGCCAATACCAATGGCCGATTTTTAATGAGCCATATTGGCCAAAACCAATCTGCTTGCCGATATGCAGGTGGGCAGCTTGGAGAGCAGCATCGGGCTGATAAGTCTGTTGCGGGAAAAGGGACGAGGGGGGAGGAAGGGGCATGGGGGGAGGCAGATCAAGGCCCCCACAGTGAGGGAACCAGTGGGGCTGGGGCAGAGGCTGTATAGCCAGGGCAGAGTGTGGGATGGAGCTGCAGCTCATCTGGGGACCATGGGAGGGGCAACGTGCACCCTGGAAGGGCATGGGGGGCACGTGCCTTCGGATTTGTATGTGAGGTGAGGACAGGCTGCTGCTGTGGGCTGGGGCTGAGCTATTCCCAGCGGGGGGCTGGGCTGGGCTGGGCTGGGGTGCACTCAGGGTGGGCAGCAGTGGTATTAGGAAGGGTCCTGTGGTGGGGGGAGCAGCTGCAGCCACCCCAAAACTTACCCCCCTCTCAGCACCACTGCTGCCCACCCTGAGTGCAATCCGGCCCAGCCCCACGTTGGGAAGAACTCAGCACCGCACCAGTCCGCAGCAGCAGCCTGCCACGAGATATGGGGGTATGTCCCCCCATGCCCTCCCAGGGTGTGTGCAGCAACAGGAGCCGCCACCTGCTCCCCACGCCCCCTGGATGAGCCACTCGCGACTCCATTCCATGTCCCACCTTGGCTGTGCAGTGCCTGCCCCCGTCCCAGCCCCACTCCCTCCCTCACTGCTGGGGCCTCAATCATCCACCCCTCCCCACGCCCCTTCCCTCACAACAGACTTACCAGCCGGATCCAGCTGCTCTCCACACTGCCAAGGTGGACTCCTGGCAGCCTGTGTGCTATGCTGCAGCTACACACATACACAAGGCATTTATTGGCGACATTATCGGCTACCATCAACCAAAAAAAACCAATTGCCAATACTGTCAATTTTCCTGATATCAGTGCCAATGTGATATGGGACCAAAGTATCAGTGCACCTCTATCAATAATAACTCTCTTGCTCTTCATTTCACTCCTCTTTCCTCCCTATAAGGTTAATGCATCTTTCTCTGAATTGATTTCAGTAAGTCTCATCTTTTCCTTTTGTTGCTCCAACCCCTCCTTCCCGTACCCCTGCCAATATTGGCTTCTATGCCTCACTTATTCCATTTCTTTTTCTCATTTCTTTCTATAAAATATCTTAACAAAACAATTCTCTTTTCTAATTTATTCCACAATCTCTTCTCCTCTCTCCTGCAATCAGCCTGTCTAAAATCATAGAAAATAAGGGTTGGGAGGAACCTCAGGAGGTCATCTCATCCAACCCCCCTGGTTCAAAGCAGGACCATCCCTAATTAAATCATTCCAGTCAAGGGTTCTGTCGAGCCAGGCATTAAAAACCTTCAAGGATGAAGATTCTACCACTTCTCCAGGTAACCAGGTCCAGTGCTTCACCACCTTCATAGTGAGAAAGTTTTTCCTAACATCCACCCTAAACCTCCCTTGCTGCAACTTGACACTATTGCTCCTTGTTCCGTCATCTTTCACCACTGAGAACAGATTAGCTCCATCCCTCTACGCAACCAGCCTTCAGGTAGTTAAAGGCAGCTATCAAATCCTGCCTCAGTCTTTTCTTCTGCAGACTAAATAAGCCCAGTTCACTCCACCTCTCCACAGAAGTCGGGTGACCCAGCCCCCTACCCATCTTTGCTGTCCTCCGATGGACTCCCTCAAATTTATCCACATTCCTTCTATAGTGTGGGGGCCCAAAACTGACACAGTACTCCAGATGTGGCCTCACCAGGGCAAAATAGAGGGAAATAATTACCTCCCTCAATCTGAAGATTTATGAAGATTTTCATTCATGAAGATTTGCAAAGAAGACATCATTACAAAAGAATACCTTAGCTGTAGCTACTTCACAAGTATGGTAGTGAGTCAGAAACTCTAAAGGTCTACAGACATATTGGTTGAGGAGCCATGCACCTTTACGAAGTCTAAAATGTATTATATTGTTATATTCTTTTTCTTAAGAAAAGAATTAAACCAGTAAGATTTTTACAAATTATAGCTTCCCTCTAGGAAATAAACTACCAATTACCAGAAATAAGAGAAGATATAGTATTTATAAAAACCCTTGTAAATTCATGTATCTTTTAGAAGGCCCTTTGGATTGCTCCTCCTGTTCAATCTTGACTGACATAGTCAATCCTTAGCAGTTAATTAAGAGTTGTTTCAAGGGCCACAAACTGCTGCAGAAAAGATAGGTTAGCATTTGGGAAAAGAGTAGTTTAAACACACTCTTCTTTCTTCTTGGTCGCCTCTGCATGCCACTTCATTTTCTACCCTCAGCTACTTCCCTCACTCTATTTCACATAATGGGAGCAGGGATTTTGTTTGTTTTCTGATGATTAAGAGCCATCAATAAATGGCTATAAAAGGTGTCAATTATACGCTAACAACTTGTAATGAATGTCTAAATATAATAAAAGATGTATTATACTGATATACACAAAATATTTTTATCAATAAAGTATAACATTTATGTTTAAAGAGTAAATATAGTGGATGTTTCTCCATTACTTGCTTGTATAAATGAATGCTCAAATGAGCTAAACATCCATCTACAGTTATTCACAGGATTAGCTACATACTATTTTCATCCTAAATTTCATAGGACAATTGCTTATGCAGAATGCCTGCAGCAGCACCACTCTTCAAGAATGTGTAACTATGCAAATGATCAGTTTCACTAGATGTTTGAGAAGATCATCAGAAGTATGTATTTAAAAAATATAAACAAATTTCAGTGAGGCAGAGAAAGAAATGAGTTCAATTTAAGCAGCAAAACAGGGAAATAGCTGTTGATCAATCAGGAAAAAATTCAGAGGACTAAAAATTGTGTTGCAGCAAACTGGCAAGTGATTTTCTATAGCATTGTGGTGTTATGCTTACAATGGCACACAAATCAATTTGGTATTTCCAGACACATCAGTCAGACAATTTCTAAACCTTTTACTAGGGTAAATTATTTGAAAAGTGCTGAAATATGCACCTAAACCATGGTTTCTGAATCAGTCATCTACAGGAGATTAGCTGGTTACAGCTGCTGGCTGGTTCTTTCTTGTTTCCAGCTGCTATAGTAGAACCTTGATACTTTATGGATTAGGGTCCCTATCCTCCTGTGAAGAAAAGGGTTTGCAAACTAGCCAGGGGTATACAGCCAGAGCAAATAGCTGTGTAGGCAATCATGGGTACTCCGGCTATTTATTGCAGCTTATATTTCAAAAGCCACTGCTTTTCTGGTGAGTTATGGAGGAGTGCTGACCAGCTCCAGCTGAGTGGGGAAGCAGCACCCTTTGAAGCAAAAGCCACAGCAAACAGCTGAGTGGCTCATCTTTAATTTGGCAACCTGTTGCAAACTAAGCAAGTTACGAACCACTCAAATAAAAGCTATCCAAGTTCTAATGTATGTTACATTTAAAAGACAGCTAAAAAGCACAAATATTGTCATATTATTCATCTTCTATTACAAGCAATTACTGTAATTGCTATGGAGATTTTACTGGACCGGGATAGAAATAAAAGTGTTCTGCACAAATGTGAAAATTTAGGATACATTAAAGAAATACATATCGGGGCTATGGTGCTAATTATACTGTTTGAAAATCTCTTGCATGTAAACACTGAGGTGGACACTTGCAGAGATCAGTCAGGCACCATGTTTCTACAAGTCAGCTGACCAAGCTGGGTAACTGAAAAGACAATGGCTCAAATCCCCTACCTAGCCCTCTACAGAGGCACGAGAAGGGCTGGCTAGTTAATCTCCCCAAGAGAGAACATAAGAAATGTCATTTATTTGGTCCATCTAGCCCAGCATCCACTCTGACACAGTGGCAGGGTGTGGATGCTGAAGGGATGAGGGTAAACAGGGCATTTCCAGAGTCTTCCCCTCTGCTCCTCTCCCATTGCAGTTTCTAGCATTCAGAGGTAAGAACAAGAATTGTTTGTCTTTCCCGTTTTGGCTTCTTGAAATAACAGCAAGCACCTCTAATATGTATTTGACAGAGAAGTTAATATCAGACACAAATCAGAGGCATTTGCTCTTTTTTGAAGAGGTAGGATAAAAGTTAAATCAAATTAATTCTTGGTTAAGGTGGAATCGAAAGTAGGCTGAAGAAATAAATAGAACAATAAAAGAAAAAAAAAGGAGGAGAAAAGGGTACCTTAATACAGTCAACTCACTAAACATTCTTCCAGGATACTATGCAATCTTATTATTATTTAGATTTATATCCCGCTCTGTCCAGGAAGACTCAGGTACTACTCTCATCCCAGCAGCCATGGGGCACTGCTGAGAATGCCAAAACCTGCTTCTTGCTGATACAGAAGGAGAGCAGAATCGGACTCCCCCTGCAAGACAATAAGGCACCATGGGATCTAATGTGCAATCCCACAATCGGTATGGCAGGAGATGTGATTGTGTGGATTATGCATTAGATCCCATCATGCT